AGAGTTAAAACTAAAACAAGACAGAATGAGGCAGATGTCTGCAATAGTATCAAAGTAGGTTTATTTGTACTAAAAAAAAAAACATCACTTCTTAAAAAAATAAGTTACATTTTTTAATTACTGATGAAATGACTTTAAAAACATATTTTTTTCAGTGTATATTAGCAACTAGCTCTAAACATGTAAAGATCAGCCTAAATTGAAAGAATGTTGAGCATCCGGCCCATATGAGAAACAGACTACCGCAAAAATATTACTGATTACTGAAGAAAATTATGTGAATGGCCAAAACTATTTCCCAGAGCCCCAGGTGATGTAGTCAAATAGCTTATCATGTCTGAAAAACAGTCAAAATCCAAAAGATATTGAATGGAAATGATGTAAAAACAGCCAGTAGTGCACACACCATCCAGCCCTGGAGTCCTGTCGCTAACATGGCTAAGAATACTTAGCCAGCACGTAGCTCTAAAACACAAAGAAATCAGCAGGATTTTAGTGCTGATAACATAAATATTAGTGACTCTAAGATGAATCTGTAATAGTGCAGACACAGACCGTACTATTGTTTTTACTGGTGAAACAAATCCATGATGTATTCTTATTTTCTCACTGTGATAATCCCTAAACAAGGACCATGTTTCGATGTCAGACTTCATCACTAACAGCTGTTGAGATAACATCTGCTCATACAAAGACGTTTCAAGACACCAGTTCACTCTGCAGGACGTCACAGCAGCAAGTGTCTGTAGTCACACAGGACCGGCTTTTAAGACTCCTAAGAGGTTTTGCTTTTGGGCCAATCAACTAATCACAAAGCTGTAACAAGTCTCCACTCTCCTCTCCTAATATAAGATAATTAGCCGGGCAGAAACGTGGCTGTTTTAAGAGCTCGTAGTACAAAGCAGAGCCAGAAGCAGCAGAGGAAGGGATCCCTCTGAACAAGTGGGCGCTCCGGGCTGGATGAATGAACAGAGGGCACTTCTCGCACCCTCTGCGCCAAGAAGGGTGCACGCGCACGCGCACGCACACACACACACACACACACACACACACACACACAGAGCCTCCCAGCAGACTCCTTCACAGTGACTCATTGTGGAAATCGCCTTTGACAGCAGCGGTTTGAGGAATGTTTTCCATTTCTTCATCTGAAAATCCCAAAAGTCCCCACCATGAGGAATTGGCAAAGGGGGGAAGGAGAAAGGAAGGCAGAGAAGAAGAAGAAGAAGAAGAAGAAGAAGAAGAAGAAGAAGAAGAAGAAGACGACGAAGAAGAAAAGGAGGAGGGGCAAAGCATAGTGAGAAAGACAGAAAGGCTTTGGATGGAGAGGACGGAAAGTTTGGAGAGTGTGGGCCTATATTTAATTCTGGCTGCCAGGCAACCAACGAGCAACAGGGGGGAGGAAAGGGATGGAGGGCAGGAGAAGGGAGAAGGGAGAAGGGACCACACCGGGTGATGGTGGTCCAACATGTGGATCAACCAAACGAGGGCAGGAACATGTTCACCTCGTCATCTGAACCGGTTATGGGAAAGCAACTTCATCACACACACACGCACACACACTCTTGGCTTTAAGGGAAAGCACCAATCATCTCTAAGCCTGACGTCACTGCGAACACACAGCCGAACCACAGTTTTAGCTCCAGTGGGCAGGAAAATTAGAAGCACAACATCTTTTTATGTTGCCATGCTTGCATGGATATCAAAAGTGAAATCCATGTGACGGAGTTCAAAATGAAGAGACAAGCGGTGTGTCATGGCATCATAAAAAAAAAAGCAGAGGAAACACTGCATCAACGCAGGGCTTGTGTGACAGTGATGTTGTCCAGCCTGTTCCTCTGTGTTATTACTGAAGTGGAGGGAGGGACCTGAAGGCTGAGCTGCTTTAAGAATGTATAGCATGCTGAGAAGAAGAAGAGCGGCCACTGTGGGACACGCAAAGGCAACAAAAGTGAAGGTTAAATCCTCTTTGATTCTCCAATAGATGCCCTGTTAAGAATGGTAGTCAACAGGCTTCCGTTTTGCTTCTTCTTTAAGGAAAAAACACGAAAGACCTGTTGATTAGATGATGAAAATGACCTAATAGTTAACTACTATTTCAGTAAGACTCCAGTAGTCACAAGCCTGCCAGTCAGAGCCTATACGGGCTATAAACGATCCCACAGGTTTTTATCTGTGTCCACATCTCTGCATTGAACGCTGGAGAAAGAAGCCTGTAACTCACTAAACAGAGCAGATGGCCCAGCCGACCAACTGGATAATAAACTCACACAGGCCAGGAAATGCTGCTGCTGGGACCTATAAACAAGTCTAACGTTAGAGAGGATAAAGTGATGAGTTCCGTTTAACGTTAACTGTTACTAACGTTAAAAGAAACGGGAACAATTGGCTTTATTTTTACTCCACGTAAGTTAAGTTGACTTAATGCCTCATCGCTGCGAGGATAATTAAGGGATAAACCGCCGCCGCTACTTGAGCGACAGTTAGCAGCCATTAACTCGTAAACACGTTAAATCCACACAGCCGTTAACAGCTCGAGAGTAACGTGAACCGTCCTACCTGATGAAGCGCTGTCAGTCCATCTATGTTGGCGTGGTTGATGTCGGCTCCCTGCCGGAGTAGCACCGCCACCTCCTCCCGGTCTCCGGCGGAGCAGGCGGCCATGAACACGGCTCCTTGGGCGAACCGGACTTTCGCCCGCCGCGTCCCGGTGGAACCGCTCAAAGTCTCCCGGGTCTCCCGTCCCGTCTGGTCCGTCTCCGAGCCCAGCCATCGCTGCAGCTGATCCTGCCGTCGCTGCTTGGCAGCTTCGGACCGGGAATGGTCAGTGGCCGCCATCTTCCCTGGTCTGTCCCGGACAGATTCAGCTCATGGTACGAGGTAGAAGCTGAGTGCTTTGGTTTGTGTTGAGCCTGCCCCGGACTGCGCCCCCTGGTGGAGACACGCTAGAAATGAATCCGTGAACTTCACAGCGAACTTCTGACTGGGTGGCAGTCTTATGCTGCCTTCAAGGGCGAGTCGGAAATTCCTGTATCAGTGGGAGGGACCGTGTATTTTCGTCATAAAACACGTCTAAATCAATATCAGTATACATATTACAAGAGTCATTTTCTCATGGACTAGGTCATGACTTAGAATAGAATGATGATAGAATCCCTCGCCGGATAAAAAAACAAAACATTAAAGTGCAGACAAATAAACCCAATAAATGATTGATAATAATAGTACTGTAGTATATTTCATTTTAGCTCTATGCTATTTAAGGACCCAAATTCTCAATATCTTGCGATTTTAACATAACATTTTAAATAGTTTTGAAGGGTGTATACAGTTGTTTTCCTATGTTGTATTTACATAATGTGATCACGTGATTTGTGTTTCTTTGTGTAGTGCTTACCGATGACTCTGCGTCTATTTATCACACCACTGTCACTTTAACCGTATAGTTTATGTCTTTAATTGCTCTTACATTTCTGTTTATCTGTACTTGTTTTTGTCTTTGTGCTGCTGCTGCAACAACCAAACGGCCCCAGTGGACATCAATAAAGGCTTATCTGATCTCATCTCATCTTGTGCATTTTTTCAATATCTTTCCAACATTACTATATTCACAAAACCAAAATGGTCAGTGATTACTACAGTTGTGGCTTTTATAGTTGCAGCTTCTCCATTTTCAAAGGAGGCTTTTATGAACAAAATAATATAAAATGTAATTAATGTAATAGCAAAATTAATCAGGAACTAAATTCATATAAATATATATTTTTTTACATTCCACAGTTACTCCTTCTGACCTGCAGTTGTTTAAAGAGCCACCGTATTCCTGTGCTTTACACTCACAAGTTAGGGATCAGCTGTGACTATTTGTCATTTTGCTGGGAACATTTGCATCTGGAAGAAGTTCTCCAGCCCTTGATTAACTGTTTGGTTACGGTTACTGATGTGTACTGTTCCCTGCTCTGTGCGCACTTTTCACCGTAAGTCACACCTTTTCTGGGAAACGATCATTGTTGTTCAACTAAGTTCAAACCAATGCAACACAACACACATGACCTGCCGTTAATGTTAAACAATACCAGTTTATTTAATGATCACATAAATATTATTCCCTGCGACATTTTGACAATGTGCGAGATTCACCTGGCAATTATTTCATTGAAGTTCAAGGCACAACAGTTATAATTTATTGCAGTACACAGTATAAGAAAGGTTTTCATACAGGTAGGTTAATACCTCGGAAACTCAGAAAGTGCAATTCAGATTATATTCTCTGATTATAAAAATATAATCTTTTTTTATTTACTGTTTGAATTAAATGTAAAATGTGTTATTTTTAAGCAGAAATTCAATACTGCGTAGATTTAAAATGAAATCTAAGAGTTATAACTTACATGTGAGTAAATCAAGAAGAAACACTTTTCTATGATTAGGGAAACAGAGCAGAGCTGTATTTTTCATACAAATACCTGTAAATTCATACAAACCAATGTTTTTTTTCCCCACAATACTGCATTGACACTTGCATCAATAAATAGAGTTACTACCTAACAAACTACCTAACAAACAGATTGGTGCATCAACTGTTGGTCAGAAGTGACTCAGAGCTCATAACGGGATGCAGGAGGAACGCTGTGCTTGAATAATAGTCACTAATAGTCTGACTGCATTCCACAAAAACATTAACATTCAATTGTTTTAAAAATGCTACTTCAAGTGTACATTTATGTTTGTAACGTCCTGGAATTGAAGTTTGTACATGTTTGAGCACATATGCTGCGTTCAAATGCACATCTGTAGACCGACAGACACACTGCGTCTGTGGGCTTGCCTGGTTATAATGTAGCAAAAGACTTAACATATTTAACACACTAAGTGTACATATGGTAAATTATTACCATTTCCATCAACGACACAAAGGGGCTCTTCGATTACAAATGTCTTCCTGGCATCTTAAAAAAAAAAAAAAAAAATCGAAATTACTGGTGTGTAAACAAATGTTAACGTCTGATTTAAATTCTTTAAAAATGTTCCTGGGTCTAGAATAAGTACATCTGAACATCAGTGCTGAAGCATCTGCAGCAGAAACCCGCCAGAAGCTCTTAGGAGCTGCTGATGGTTTCGACAGAGTCGACAGCAGGTGGAATATCAACCACAACCATTGTGAGGCCTTCAGGGGACAAGGCGGAGGGAGGGCTCTTATCTGGTGACATCGGCCCTGTTTTGAAGGAGCCTTGCAGGTCCATGTTGATGCACAGCGCTCCAGACAGCAGCTGCCTCTTGTACTGTTCAAGACGCATGAAGATGTCCATAACTGAAGAACTGCTTTCATTAACCCAGTTGGGAAACAGGTTGGTGGAGCTAAAGTGGGATGGGAGGGACTGGTATTGGTGCAGCTCCAGCTGCCAGTAAAACCTAGAGCAAGACATGGTAAAGGAGTCAGCTGTAAGTATTTCACTTATTGTTATTAGAGCGGCTATAATCAATTATTTTATAACTATGTATCAAGTGAGAATGATACAAGTGGTCAACCACGTTCACATACTCTAGATTACAGCTAGATCCATCATGGAGCGTATAGACCTGACATTTAATGTATTCTGCCGTCTCTGTTCACATATGACATACAAGTTATGCGTTTGTGCACTGTCACCTACCTGGCAGATACATTCTGGGAAATGCTTTTGGAGGTCTGGCGAAGAATATTCTGTAGGACTTTTAACAGCTGATCCCGAATCCATCCAACATCTTCTTGCACATCTGGCAGCCACTCCAGAAGTCTACACATGGGATATGTCGCTGTCAGTCGATTGGCACAGAAGGCAAGTCCAGTATTGCTCTGCTATTTTAATGCCTTTATAGCCACAATAATATTCGCCACATAATGCGCAATAACTTTTGCTGCACACAACTGCACATATAAGACCCAAGTACACATAGAAAAAGTAGTACTGTACTGTTGTGATTAAGTCCTACTGCACCTGAGAGTCAAGGACAAAGCAGACTCCACAGGGAGAGTGTAGGGGAGCATCATGGCTGAGGCCATCCTGACAGGAAGCAGGTTGCTTAGCGACTGCATCAGGCTCCTCCTCTCCATGCAGGCCTCAACTAGAGCTGCAGAGGGAGGCAAAGATGACCACAACAGTGACCTCGAGCTATTCATAGACGTAACCTGCTTTATTCAGCACTGTTCTTGAGCTAAACACCAACATCAAATTTAAAATGTCAGCACAATGAACATAATCATCTTTTATTAATTACCATTCCCTGCCTATAAAGTGGAATAAAATACCTTTCAAGACTTTCAACACACTGTGAATGTAGTCATATAAAGAACAGCGTAGCTGTCCTTCTACCATGTATCTCAGAAATTCCATTGTTTAAGGGTTAATGAAAGTATCTTACTTCGAAAGATAAATACTTTTAAAACCCATTTAATTATCTGAAAAATGCACTTTCACAAGGCTCAAGCAGGGCTGTTTTGTATTCCTTATGTTATTGTTACCTTTGTGCAGAATGGGTGGAAGGTGTTCGAAGATATGATCCTCTATTAAGGAACTGCAATGAACCATGACTGCTCCCTCTTCCACGTGTGGCTTTTCCTCCTCTTCATCACTTTTGTCGTCATCCTCCTCCTCCTCCTCCTCCTCCTCTTCTTCCTCTTCCTCTTCCTCCTCCTCCTCCTCCTCCTCATTGCAATCCTCATTTTCTTCACCATTAGCCAGCAGAGGCAGCTCTCTGTGAGGTCCGTTGAAATTAAGCAATCCTGCAAAACAGAACCAAAATGTGAAAGTAGTATTTTTTTTTCTTATCTGTGATCAGTGGTGGGTTAATTTCTTAATTAGTTCAATTACTCAACGCATTTATAATAATCTAGTTATAATAATAATAATAATAATAATGTTAATGTTAATGCCAAAAACATAAAAACAATAAACAAACAAATAAGTAGCCATAAGGAGGAACAGAAGTCTAATCACGAGCAAAAGCAGCCTATTGATTTGTTGACATGTGCCCGTTGTGATAGCGTATCAGGATGTCTTCATACTAACATGAGGACAGAAAATCAATGAGGCTTGTTATTACTCACCCAATTTATACTATGTTCATTCTACGAAACACGTCTCTGTCCAAATATCGGTAATGAATCTGTGTGCCCTTAATAAATTCTAAACCATATATTAGGGTCGTTAAGTTTATATGTCCCGGGGTGTAAGTCCCTAGGTGGCGTTGTTGGTTGCCTTTAATTCCCCCCCCCCCAAGGCCACGCTACATTCTGGGCAGGGCAGAACATGATTTTGAGAATGTTAGAAAAAAAAGTAAATCAGTGTTTCTTACCATTCCTCTTTAAAAAGTGCAGAGCATCTTTATAGCCCTGTTTACACATGGTTTTCATAACCTGCACTCGAAAACAAACACATACAAGAGGTCCAATGAGTTCACTCCTGTTCAATTAATCAGTGTGTGTCTGTGTGCGTGCGTGCGTTTGTGTGCATCAGCAGGGTTGTCATCAGGTGACCTACCATTGGGTCTGGAGGGAACAGTGCCCTGGAGACTCTGTAGAGGTTGGTGAGAGTGAACTGGATGCTTGTGTTGGTGAAGCGCAGCTCATGTATGTTGGCCGAGGTGTCTCTGGGGCAGATGTCGCTCTCTCCGGAGAACGGGGACACGGTGATGGTATTTTTCAGCTCATACTGAGGCAGATTGTCTGAGATTCCTCCGTCGACATATCGCTGGACAATAAAGAAGATAAAAATCAGCATCGGAACAAACAGAAACCGATCACAGATTAACTGTCGATCGTATTTGGCCACAGAGCAATCATCACACGGGATATCATGGTGACATCATATCCTGTGTATTGGTTGAAGTTTGTTTTTATTGAAGCTGGTGAACTTTTAAACTAAGAGGTGGGAGGCATGAAGTGTGTGTCAACAGATCAGGGTGAGATCAGGGTGACACATTTTTTCTGAATTTGAGCCACTGCGAGTTTGAGAGGACAGAACAACATTGATGCCTGAGAGCCAACTCTCACATTGTGCCCCCCCCCCCACACACCCACACACACACACACACACACGTGTAAGCTCCTAAAACCCAACCCAAAGGCCACAGAGGGAGGTTGGGAGCGCTGGTATTACTCAATCATATTGCCCAGAAGACCTTTGCTCTAGAAATGTCCAGCAAAAAAAGAAAAAGAAATGACAAGCTGTGCTTAAAATACAAGCTCTGCTTTCCCCTTAAGTTCTGAGATCTCTGACAAACACGGACTCCTGAGGAATTGCATTATTATCGCTTCCACACACGTGTCATTCAGAACAAACACATTCTTGGGGGAAGTGGGGAGTTACGGATGAAGAAAGTGCCAAATGTAACAACAACAAAATACAATGAGAGGAAATAAACGACATGCAGCATGGTAGAGGGGTCAGTAAACCTCTCCGACAGCAATGACGTGAAGTAATTACCGTAAGCTCATTTCTTTTCATTAGACCAAATATAGGATATCGACGACATAAGGACCCTGCACACATACTGAATAATTTGAATCTACTCACCACTCCTTGCAGCGTGGGGGGAATGAGGCCACAATACACTGGGATGTAGGCACTGCAGACGCATGCCTGGTTAGCAAAAGAGACGATACAAGAAACTTGTTGGAGGTGGAATTACAGTTGGCTGATATACTGATATTATATAGCGTGAGACTATAAATGTCATGATATAACTTTGCTGTCTTTTTCTGATTTAAAGGACGCATTACAGTTAAATTACATTTCCTTATTACACTCTGTCACTACATATCATCAGAACTGCAACTAACAATTATTTTCACTATTGATTAGTCTGCAGATGAACTGTTTTGTCTATAAATTGTCAGAAAATAGTGAAAAATGTTGTACATTTCCACAGCATTATAATGTTTTGTCCAAACAACAGCCAAACACACAAAGATGTTCAGTTTCCAATTATATGAAACAAGAAAAACAGCGAAAACCTCAGATTTGAGAAGCTGAAATCAGTGACTTACTTACTTACTTGATCGATTCAATTGACAAATTGTGTCAGATCTAAAATCAACAATCAAATCCATATTTCTCATGATCATTTCTCAAAATGTGCTGCTATGTAAATGGCTTAAATAATAAAACACTGTCACATTATCAGTATAGACATAATAAAACCCACTCTATCCTGACTTCCTTAATATACTCAGACTTAATTCCCACCTGCACCACCTCCTCCTTGTTGTTGAAGTGAGACACCAGGACATTTTCTCCATCTGACACTCGGGTGAGAGAGATTCCTAACCGCCCGTTGGCCTCGTGGTGGCACTCAGCTGGCAGAGTACGCCGCAGCATGTGACGCATAAGCTTCACCAGGTTAAAGGAAGGATGCATGGCTCCGAGGAACCGCTTCCTTGCCTCTTTGGAAACATCGATGATACCTGCACCGGTCTCACCTGTGAAGACGTTGTTGATGTTAATGATTACATAAAGGTATTCATGCAACTGTACATTGTCTACATTATAAAAATCAGGAATTCAGTTGAGTAGATGTTTTATAAGCTATTGCACTCAACTATATTTGCAGAATCAATAATAGCCTGCAGTTATTCTGTTACAGAACAATCAGGATGATATTTTGTTCCTCCGTGTGAAGCAATCTTTAAGAATGTGTCTTTATGAGAAGAAGATGGTTGTCACTTTGTCCATTCAAAAGGGATGAGTTGGTATATTTGACATGATCAAGATGCCATGTTAGAAAGTAACTACGTTTTGAAGTTCTTTACTTGAGTATTTCCATTTTATGGCACTTTATTATTTCACTCTGCTACAAATCAGGAGATATAATTATTATACTCCCTGCTTTTATCTGACATCTGCAGCTACGAGTTACTTTGCAGATGAACATACTGTACAAAACACCTGTCACATTGTTAAAGATTAAACCATTGATATATATATATATATATATATACACACTGTATATGTATGTATATTATACATACATATACAGTATATACATACATACATATAAATAAATATATATATTTATATAATCTTTACTTAACTAGGAAGTCACATTGAGATTAAAACCTCTCTTACAAGTTTATAGCACAAAAATGTTAAACTAAAGTAAAGTATCAACTTGTTGTCTTTTTTAAATGTATTTTGTAACAGCTTCCCTTCCACCTCCTGTAAGAGCTGAAACACCCGACAGACACCTACCAAGACAGACCCCGGTGACCAGAGCGGTGGCGGTGAGAGCTCCAGCGGACGCTCCATAAATGTGTCTGGCGTTTTGCACCAGAAAAGGAGCCTGTTCCAGCAGACAGCTGGCGACACCGACGTGGTAGATACCGAGGAAGCCACAACCTGCAAACGAGATGTTCCACGGCGAGTCTAAAGGAAACATACCGGGGACCGGCCGCTGCTGTGGAAAGTGGGGCTAAGGTCACAGGCAAACTCTCAGATATCAACGGAAACAAAATAACTACAACTGTCTAGTTGAAGCTGACCGGCCCATCGTATTGTATTAATGAAGCCTCTTCACATGCTGTCCTTAGGATAATGGACTTTGTCTGCTGTTTTTAGCTTTCTAATTAACGGTAGAAGTCACCTTTCCGGTGCAGGTAACGTACAAAACTCTTAAGCAGCAGCTAAACCCCTACGACGCTTAAATAGTAACGTGTCCGGTGAGTTGTTATTACCTCACTCTGTTGGTGTACTTAGAGGAGGGCTCCGAGTAAACCGGCTTGTCCAATCACAACTGACACCGCGAGACAAAAGTGACCAATCACAATAGACATAGTTGATCAGGTGACCAATCAGAATCCCCACCGCTGTAACACTGTGACGTCAATGAGCGGCGACAGCTGTCGAATGTTTGTCCCTCTGTTGGAACAAAGCGTTTTGTTTTGACCTTTATAAATTGATAGCCTGCTTGTGTTGACATGTTTTGTCTATTCATATCTACTAGGCTATATTGAGACTTACTTTCGCAATAGTTGCTATCAGTAGAAAGAATGTGTGTTGATTTCCGACTATGCAATTTTGGCTAGTTGAACCTATTGATTACAATCGATTAAAAACATCTGCGACAGTGGTTGTCTGTTCTTGTTTTACTTGTGTTAGTGGTGATTTTACAAAGTAACAAACGCTGTCATAACGATTCACACATTGTGTTAGGTTTGCAACATCCTGCTTACAAATCAGCACAAGATAGTAGGGTTTCCCAAGAAATAGTAATGAAATCACAAGTGTCTTGCACTTGAAGTGCGTTCAACAATAACAGTAAAATGTTTTTTTTTTGTGGATCACTTCCTTGAATAAACTATTCACAGAATTAGGTTACAAATAGTTCACCCGTGGGCACCGGTCCAGAGTCTGTTTAGGACAGGATTCTTTTGAGAACACATCCAATTGTGAAACCACCATCAGCCAGAGTTCATTATCTTAAAACAAGTATACTCCTACTCTATCCAGTGTGGGGGGCCAACTGCTCAAGGACCCCCAAAGTCAGTGAGGGTCAATAGGTGCATAACAGCAGGTTAATCTGGTCATGCTGACTGTAATGCTGACATCAAAACTAGCAAAACAATCATTGAGGTTACATAATCTATTAGGAAAATAAATAAAACATTTAGAACAGTTTTAAAATGTTGTGTTAAAGTTAACATATTTGTGTTATTGTAAAAACACATTTGATTATGTAAAAGGACTCAAAATAGGAGTTGTTATGTCTGAGGTCCTAGAAGGTGATTCAAAAGGTGCTGCATATCTGACACGATGATGACGGCTGTACTTTTTTCTATGTTGTTATTGTACCCAAATTAGCTCTTTGAACCACTGTCACCCTTTGGCACATCTGAACGGAACACATTCTTTCCTACATAAGTAAATGTTTTACACGACAGAGATGAACTTTTGAAACTATTATGTATTAAAAATGATGTGGGAGGTCACTTTAAACTCAATTGAATATAATTTGCTAAGTAGATCTTCCACAGTTAATATTGTGTTTTATCTTACTTCAGTCAAATGATGTATTATACAACAAAAACTTAATTATATTTCCTCATTCCATCTTTACAGGATGAATGAATTGTTGAATGTTCAAAAGGAAATTTAAAAAATTGTTAAAAAATTAAAAATTATTTTTTTGTTATTATAATCACCAAAGACAGATGTTTGTGTCGGATAAATGATCAGTTATAAATTCATAACAAGCACTATTAACAGTACTGCTCTTTACTAAACTGTAAACATGTTTAATTTAATGTGATTAGATTATTTCACAGCCTGAGTCATGTGCAAACAATATATGTATCTATTATATACTCAAGACACCACGCTTCCTAGTGCAGCAGTCTCAGGTAGTATAATAGACTCAACAGCGCCCCCCGCTGGCTGAGCAGGTGCAGACATCGAGCGCACACGTTGACACAACTTATCCCGCCCTTTGTTGAAACTTTGGCGGTGCCAGAATCAAAGCGCTCGATTTCATACACATCAACAACCGGAAAGGCGGGGCTCGTTATTTTTTCAAACGATACAAAATGGTTAGACTCCCCCCTCCCTCCGCCGGTGGACTATGTACACAAAAACGAACGAGCAACTATGACGCGAAGCTTTTTCTTTAAAAACATTGTCGGACATAAGGAAGTAGGAAAGCACAGAGGGATCGAGAGAGGGCAGAGGAACAGGAAACAACACATCATTAAACTTTAGCTGCATTATAGAAACATGGAGGTCACTAAAGTAGCCACAGAGTGCAGAGATACGTACATTTATAGCTAAATAATCATGTAAATATATTTCAATGGAGAGAAACAGCGAGGAAGAGGCAGCTACTGATGAAGAGGATGAAGACCAGGCAGCCTGCAGGTCGGAGGATGGAGAACAGGACGGGACGCCTGCGTGTCAGACATCCACAGGTGGAGTACCTGACGCTTCTGTGGACACTTTAGCTCTGAGGCTCTGCAGAGAACTCGTGCACCGGGTTCAGGATTTGAAGTCCGAGAGGGAGACCAGACCAACGGTCTCAAGTGGTGTGATGTCTGAAATTCAGGCAGAGAGAGGAGCTCCCTCCGTGTCTCCCTCCAGCCTCGTGGACACGTGTGGTCCCTCCACATCGAGCCTCTCCTCCTCTTACTTCTCCACCCATAATCACCCCGGTGTTTCCTCTTCCTCTTCATCATCTTCCTCTGTCTTGTCTTTGACTCCCCTCTTGCCTCCTTCGGTGGAGCTCTCAGCTCTGTTGACTGATACGAGGCTGACCCTGGATGTGTACAAGGGAGGAGCAGCTGCCCTGCCTCTGCTTTGGGGGTCTATCCCGGGGCCGCTGAGGGGCCTCCGGTACCTGAGACTGGGCTCTGAGGAGAAGCCAGGCCTGGATGATGCACTGGATGCCCTGACCCACCTGACAGAGCTGCGTTCACTGGCTGTTCGGGGTACTTTTCTCATTCATTGCATACAATATCTGCTGTTTTGGTTCTTACATACAATACAGTAAATACTGTGCATTCATTTATGGCTGTCATTCTCTTGTCTTTTTCCTTCCTTTGCTCAAATCTTTCTGCTTCTAACTGCACTTTTCTATCTGATTCAAGGACACCGTTTTTATGATTCCCAGGGTGACCCGCTGCCTGGCCTCCTCACCACTCTGCCCACATCTGTCTCCCACCTCTCTCACCTGGTGCACCTGGATCTCTCCTTCAACCAGCTCACCTGTCTGCCACCCTGCCTTCTCAGCTTGCCTGCGCTGTCCTCTTTGCTTCTCTGTCACAACCACCTCTCAGATTTGCCTCCTGGTGTAGGCCAGCTGTCCTCCCTCACCTACCTTTCCCTCCTGGACAACGAGCTGGTCTCCCTCCCCGTGAGTCTGGGTCAGCTGAAAGCACTACAGACGCTGGATATTTCACATAACCTCCTGCAGCAGCTACCTGATGAAATTGGTTCTCTAGAGGACCTTGTTAAGCTGGAACTGTCCCACAACAAGCTGAAGCAGCTACCAGAGAGCATGGGTAAGGGTGTGTGGGTGAGTGGGTGTGTCACTGAGGGAGCAATACAGTAATTAACTTGAATCACCTAATTTAATGTAAGTTAAATTCATGAATGCAGCGATTGAAACGTCTTCTTTGTGGCCCAGGCTCCCTCCTCACCCTCAGGGAGCTTGTCATCTCCAGCAATGGCCTCCGCCTGATCCCACATTGTCTGAACAAACTGCCTCTGCTGAAAATAGATGTGCGTGACAATCCTTTGGGAAAAACCCCGACCCCTCCTCCTCTCTCTCCTACACCTGGTGAGCGGAGAAAAAAAAGGTCTTCAAATTGATTTGTGCTTAAATCCTTTTGACGGCATCATAATTAGATACAGCGTTTACGTTTGCTTTCAGCATATTGATATTAAATCCCTGTTTTCTTATCAGATCAACAAGAAACGACAATTCAAGAGTTGCACCTCGGATTTAACCAACACAGGTACAGTGTCACTCTTAGCATGGACATATGTTCTCAATCTGCAGTAATGTTGCCAATCACAGCGTTTCTGACTCGATTTGAAGACGTCATGCTCTTTTTTGCTCCTTAGTTTCTGTGTTTCGCCTGCTGGGTGTCATGTGTTTCTCCCAGGGGGGGCTGAGCTGCTGTTCCCCCCAGGCTGCCTGGGGACAACCACAAGACTGAAGTGGGCTGAGAAAATGCCAGATAGGAAGTGGGTGTGGCTGGAGGAGCATGACATCTTGCTGAGTCGTCCATTGGAACTTCGTCCTCATGGAATTACATTTCTGAAGGTATTGAACTAAATTTGTCGATGTACCACATCTGTTATAGGTACACTCCACCAATTTTACAGATCAAGATCAGTTTACTTATCATTTTTGACGTTATTCCATAATCCTGATTAAGTCATAGTGATGTCATCAGGGTTATCTCAGTTTAGGTTTAGAGACAAAGCTAAAACACAACGTCTGCATTACATACTGAAGGTGTGAGGTTTAGGAGACATGGACATTTACCAGGCAGTGAGGATCTATAGGAAAATGTTATCGCATTGCATTGTGGGACATTTAGGATCCAATGTTTGTGGAGCTTGACCCAATTGGGAATAGAAGTCACGATATCTCTGCTGCACAGATTTTGATAATTTATTATTAAATCTTTTTCAGAAGTCCCTCAATTTCATGGAAGTGTAGAACTAAATTGCTGGACTACTTCCTAAAATAAGTATTTAGAAGACTTTATTCAAAATATACAGAATATTTCTTGTTTTGATCCTAATAGGTTATTCTTTTTCCATCTTGTCACTGTGTTCCTTCCTGCACTTGCATAACATAAATGTAATCCCCACAGCCTGTGGAGGTGTGTGTGCCATACCATCGGACCAAAAGAAGGGAGGTGGTGGTGCAGAGGTTTGACGGACAGTCATGGAGCACTCTGCCCACGGTCCCGAGGAGAGGCAGCGAGCGTCACAGCAGCCGCCCCGGAGGACGTCCAGCCAGGGTAAAGTAAAACCTCCCACTGCAAAACAATGTATTACACTTCTATTTCAGCTTTTTTTTTCCTCATAGTATCTACAAATTGTGATATAATTTTTTGGATGTACCTGTAGCTGGCCTGCTGTGCAGTGAGCCAGTTCTCCTGGTTTATGGCAGTGTCCCGTCCAGTAAAGGACAGTTGCTCCGTTACACCAGCCGGAGCTCTGCTGGTATCCAGCGCTGACGGTGGAGTGAAGCTCCGCTTCCCCCCAGACTCCACGGTGCAGACCCGCACGGTAACACTCCAGGTAACGCTACATTATATGGAAGCCTATGTCAGTTGGGGCATCTGTGGTTGGGGGCATCTGGGGTATCTGTGGTGTTGCAAGGCTTTAGTCTGTCTCTCTTTCTTTAGGTGCTGCAGGTGTCTGTGTCAGAGGTACAGGCACTGTGTGGTGATCCTCAGGCCAGAGTTAGCCCTCTACTCTGCCTCTCACAGAGCCCCAGCATACATTTCCTACAGGCTGTCGAAGTTCAGGTTCCTCTGCCATCAGGAGTCACAGGTACAATATGCCCTCACTCTCATACATGTTTATAACAGAATGTATGAGTGTTAACATGTCTGGTGCTTCTGCAGGCCACACAGTGGATATGTCCTGTTTGTATCTGCTACACGGAGACCCAACTGCCCAAACCTGGACTGACATTACATCGCAAGTCTCTCTCAAAGTCACCTATTTGTATGCCATTTTCAACATTACACATTTCTCCTGGTAAGTTTTTGTTTTATAATATATTGTCATAATGTATGTTTGATTCATAAATGAACATTGTATTAACACAGCTTTGTGTGTGCGCCATCACAGGTACTGGCTGTGGTACACCACTCAGCGGTGTGTTAGCGGGGTGGTCAGGAAGGTCTATCAAAGGCTGAAACAGTTTAAAGTCCAGTTCCTCGTCCTCCAGAGGAAGACTGATCCTTCACAAGTTATGCTGCAGTGCTTACCTACTAACAGGGTTTGTCACTCTCCTCTCTGTGCCTTAACTGTGTAGTTTAATAGATGTAATTACACCAAGGACTGTCTGTACATCAGCCCTCTTCTCTTAAACAGTGGTTGTGTTGCTCCTTGTCCAGGTGGACGGCAGAGTGCAGTCTCTGTCAGAGCAGTATGAGGGGCCTCAGCCCTCAGACCTGTGTGACCTGCTGGAGGGAGAGCAGTTCTTCGCTGGCTTTGAGAGGGGCTTGGATATCAGCACAGGTCTGAAGTCCTCTTTGAAGCTCTATCTTAAATAAACATGTTTCTGTCCTGCTCCCTTTCCTTCCAGGGGTTCATGATGTGCTGTTGTGAAACAGCCTTTTATATGAAGTCTTGAGATTAGGATTTCCTATTTGTTTTTCTCCAGAGAGACCAGACTGTGTGGAGGGAAGACTGTGTTTTGTGTTTTACTCCAGCCTGAAGAATCTGAAGGAGGTGTACATCTGTCCAGCTCAGGGTCAGAAGGGGCCAGTGAGGGGACAAGTAAGACGGACATCATATTCAACAGACAAAGTGCAGTGACTGGAGATAATCATAGTGTTTGTTTTGTTTGTATACATATAATCACTTTGTGAATTCTACATTTCCACATTTCATTGCGTTACACATGAGCTCATCTACATGCCGTACATTACAATCTACACTCAAGCCCCGTTCAAACAGGATTAAAGGGAAGCCCCTCCTAAATTTAGAATTACAGTTTGTGAACATGAGCTCTCTCTCTCAAAGCCGGAAACCAGAGAAGTAAAAGTAAAATCAAACTTGTGATGCCATCCTGTATAAAGTCTCTAGCTGCTCCATAGACAATGAATGGGAGACTGATTTTGCGGACCCGCAGAATGTTTGTTTTCTATTTTTATACTCGGTTGAACTTTACTCTATTGTGTTTTTTTCAGTTGTGAAACAGAAAATGTACTCATCCACCCAGAACATCCCCCGGGTGCTCTCAGTGTCCTCTAAACATCTCCCCTAATTCATTGTCTATGGAGCAGATACAGACTTTATACTTGATGACACTACACGTTTTAATTTTAGCACTCTAGGTTCTGGATTTGGGAGAGAGTTGTTTATGTTTACTAATGTCTTAGACCAGGGATTCCCAAAGTGTGGTGCGCGCGAGCTACCTCTAGGGGGTGCGCGAGAGGAAAAATGTAATGGTGGTCTAATGGTGTAATAATTAATATTAAATATAATTTTCACAAAATAAAAACATGAATTATAAAAATTCCCTTTGTAAGATTTAAATTTAAAATTAAAAACGTACAATTTAATAAATAAATGCACTTCAGCTCTTGCCACCAGACTGTCTTTTACGTACACTAGCTAGCCTAGCTTGTGCAGCTAACGTCAGCTAACAGCTAACTTCATTCATTCAGCAACATTCATGCAAATATGCTAAACTGGCTGAAATCAGGGAAACTGTCAGGTGGGACATTTGAAGCTATCAGTCATAAAAGAGGAGAGGGACAGAGAGAGAGAGAGAGAGGAATCGGAGGCGAGAGGTGCGTTGGAGGGCTAAACCTTAGTTGTTTCCTGTGAAGATGGAAGTTTATTTTGAAAAGACAGTATGCAAGCGAAAACAGACTCATGTTGCTGGACTTTTGCAGGAAAAACGCACGATTTTTCGTAAGATATCAATAAAACGGGGATGAATTTATACCATTGTATAAAGAGAGTGACATGAGTTACATTGTATTAGAATGTAAAGAAGTTACATTCTAATAGAATGTAAAGAAGTTACAGTGTTGCCTTTTCTTTTATTTCCACAAGAACTTAATTTTGTCAGGTTGATTAAAAAAATGTCGCTTTACTTCCTGACATTATTGTTATTTTACCATAGGCCCATCGCGGAGTCAAGGTGAAAAAAGAGGAAACGAGAGTGATCATCAGACTGGGAAAAAAGAGGAAATATGATGAAAATGATCTGGGTCTGGGCTTCACTTGGATTGCCAACACAGATTGCCCAAAGCCACAGTGCATGGTGTTCAGTGAGGTTCTGGCTAACAGCTGTCTGAAGCCCTCTTATTTACGTCGCCACCTGAACACCAAGCATGCCAGTGCAAATCAAAAGCCCCTTACATTTTTTATATCGAAATTGGAGGAGTTACAAAACAGCCCAAAACAACTGCAGTCTCATTCTATGTATGGTTTATTGTAAATTAAATGTGATGCAATCTGCCTCTGAGCCTGTGCGGGTGTCCTCGCCATCCCTTTTGCTCTTTAAAAGTGACGCCTTGTGTAACTGAAATTTATTGAAACTTTGTTGCAGTGTTTCAGGGCGTTTTCACACCTTCAGTTCGTTTGCTTTGTTCTGATTCAGGGATTAATATGATACAATGTTGCAGTTGCCCCTTTGTTCAGTTTGTGTTCACACTGCAACATTTAACAGCGGACTAAATATTGTAAACAAACGCCACGCGCGAGCAAACTGTTCTCTCATTGGTCCGATTTCTATGCGGTTATAGGCTCTGTTGCTTCTTTTTTTTTAAGGTGTGGGGGATTGGGGGTGCGTGAACCCAGTCGGGATGTAGAAGGGGGTGCGTGGCCTAAAAAGTTTGGGAACCGCTGTCTTAAGACCATAGGAGTAACATTTATATATTTTGATTAATGGGCATAGTTCCCCTTGGACATTACAGTGGGAGGTGGCATTTTAACTATTGCAAAATTACAGAATATGGTCCGTAATAGACATGGACATTCTCTGAGTCATGACTCGGTTAAATCTTAACACACACACATGAAACACAATAAAATTGTGACTAACACTTTACGAGGATATCCTTTCATAACTCCATTGCGAATAAACATCCATGAATCCGCGGAGGAATTATAGAGAGAAGACGCTACAGAACTTGTCAGCATGTTCATATATCAGATAACCAAACACATTTTTGACTTAATCCATTTTTGCACAAAAGTCAAAGTCTTCCAAGGTGATTTTAAGAAAAAAAAAAGAAGAAAAATGTCAGCAGCTCTTCCAGCAGAAAAGAACCCAGAGGTCCACTTTATATTACAAGGACGCTGCTCTGTACGGGATATAAATTACAGGAGGAACCAGTGAGTCTGCAGAAAAACTGTAGCTAATTGCAGCTGTAATTACTAATGTTAAAATCACCCTGCATCCCCGAGAGAAATAAATCAAGTGTGAATGGGGCTTTAAGTGACCAGACAGTAGAAACCTCTGTACTCTGTAATATGATCCGAATCAATCCTGTAATGAATACTTTGTGATGCTGAGACGGAACGATTCAACTCCATGGTGCATTTTGTCCTATATTCATGTCCTTCCATACACGATGAATAGCAGTTAAATACACCTTTCAACATAATACATCAGACTGAAAAGTCATATGTCAAAATGTATAAAGAAAAAACTAAAGTAGTGGTCTCTAATGAAAGCAGGCTGAACATTTTATGCTATGGATGTGGTCACTCTTAATCTGTAAGAGTACTTAATCTGTTCCTTACCTCTTTCTCAGGTGTCTTTTTACAGAGGAGAGTTTCCCAATCTGCCAGAGGAAGTGGTGAAAAAGAGGAAAGGACCTGACAGCCAGTGGCTTGCAACATTACCACTGAGGCTTCCTGTGAGTTGAAGTGACTTTCTTTTTTTTTTCATTGTTTCATAATGATGACGTCGAAATTTTGAGCATTTCTGGATTGTATATGAATTAGTATAAACCTATTGGTTATGAATATAAATAATACATATGTACGGTGTTTCTTCCGTACACACACACATTATGTTTATTCCTTCCAACTAAAGCAACAGATGATGTTGGCTGCTACCGATATGTAACTCGTATTTTCTCCTCCCTTGTTTTTGTCGTAGGCTCTAAATTCAGAGAATAATTTCATCATGGAAAAGCTCCAGTATCCTCCTCTGAACCTGGGTGACCCAGAGAGCGGCTACCTGACGGAGGCCAACCTGCTGTCCATCTCCCTCCAGATAGGACAAGACTGGCGTGTTATTGGCATCAATCTTGACTTAAGCTACCAGGAGCTGGACCGCATCCAGTACAAGTACAGGTAGGAATGGAGCTGAAATTGAACTCCACAATATTGTTAAATCACAGAGCTCAATTAAAATGGAAATGATGCACTTTTTAATATTTCTTTTACACGTGTGAATGACTTAACCAGTGCGTGCACAGCCAAAGCCTCTGAGGGAATTGGAGAGATGTAATGTGAGTGAAGGCAAACCGCAGTGGGAGAGAATCGGTGGAGAATTTTGATTGTTTTAATCTGCGCTGTCAGCCTTCACTAAGCCATCTGGGACACTGCAGGAGATTACACACAGACAGACTGATGCTCATCTGTCCCCCCCCCCCTCCCCCCTTCTCCTCGTGCTCAGAAAAAAACCTCGCGTGACGCATCCTGGAGTTGGAAGAAAAATGCATTACGTAGATGTTTTTTTAATGTAGGAATACATTCACATGTCATTTTAATGATTTGTGTATTTGATGAAAGATGTCCAATAAATACACATGAATAGGCTGTACATTTGATATAGTATGTATGTTTATATAAGTACAGTATCTAGAAAATTATTCGATCCTACAGTGGAATTGAAACATACAGTAATGCTGGTATAAAACTGCTAATTTAAATCAAAATATATATATTTACATGAGTCACTGTAGCCGGTTTGTAATGTATTGTGTATGTTCTGCTGGCCTCACCAGGGACAACCTGGGAGCCTTAGTGCTGGACATGCTGTTCCTCTGGGCCCGGGGACAGAGGAGTGCAGGACCGGGAGCGGTGTCGAGGCTGGTGACCGCCATGATGGAGAGCGGCAGGAGAGACCTGGCCGAAGAGATTGAGGACATTGTCTGTATAGGAAGGAGGAAGTACTCTGAGTCACTGAGGAGAGTGGGCCTGGAAGAACCCCGTAACACAGGAGTAGATGAACCTACGCTGGGTGCAGATGGCTGATTTACACTTGAGTAACCTGTTTGTTTACAATGTGTCCCCGTCATCTCATCCTGCTGTCCAAACAACTGTTCTGGTGTAGAAAAGAATCTCTCTTAACACCATCATGAGAGCCAGTTAACAGCTGGTGGCTGGACATATATAATGGATGGACTGCGTAAAGATGATGGCCTGAGGCCATGTTTTTCTTTCTCCACTTTTTAAAAACGGTCTCAGTTTTCAACACTATGGAAACCCATTCCTGTCGGGAAAAGATAAACATTTGTGATAAGTTATATAAGATGAAACATGTAAATACTCATGGTAAATCAAAATGATGAAGTCACAAGTCATAGTTGTGCTTTGTGTGTCATCATTTTGACTTAATACCTCATATTTGTGACTTAACATCTCAACATTTTGGCTAATAAGTCTGAATTTGGCGTTATTAAGTATTAATTGACTTTAATATAATTTTGACTCAGTATCCCATTATTTTTGACTTACCACGAGTATTTTTAATCCATTTTTATATTTATTTTTTGATTTCTTAGCAGAAATTTGGCAATCACAATAAGCTGTTTTGCACAGAGTTAAGAGGCAGAGCAAACACTGGGAGCTGCTGGACTACGGAGGCCTGGACTACTTACTGCAAGTGCAACAGGAGGCCATGTTTATGGTTGATTAAATATCTTCCTTGTGTGCCTTTGGTCACCTAGAAACCAGTTGAGCTGCAGCACATATCAATGACATTTAATTTATTTTAAATGCAAGTATGAATTTCCACTATTTTCATCTCCAGTAAAACTGTTAAGTAAAGGAATGTGTCAGCTGTTTTTTTCCCGAAGTTGAAGCTGAGAGTCCTGTAGTGAGTCACTGGTCATCATAGCTGATGATGCTGCACTTCATGCCCAATACTTCAGCTGTAGCCATTTTTCTATTTTAGTGTTCAAGGTCGAGATGAATCGTCACGATGACGCTGGCCCCCCCCCCCCCCCCCCCCCCCCCCCCCCCCCATCCCCCACCCTCTACACCTTTACTGCAAATAGAAAATATGTCTGTACTTCTACTACATACCACTAGGGGACCCCCTTTTTAAATCCCTTTTCATTTTTTTTTCTTCCTCCGAGCTCTACTCCATCGCCAGCTACTCTCCCCCCTCCTTCCCTGCTCTCACTCCCACCTCCTCTACCTCTCTACGCTGGACTCAAATGCTACTAACACCGGTAGGTTTAGCTACTGTCGTTCTGTCAGCCAAAGATACAGAGTAAAAGGCTTTGATTTCACACCCCAACCATACCGGGAGAAAATATCGGAAACGCTCAATGTGGTATGTAAAGATAACGGGATGCAGCAAAAGTCTTCTTGTGGATCGTCTTGTTTGGTAAATGTGAATTGGCTTGAAGCCGGTATAAAATCTCACCTGGGAATAACGTGTTAAGCTGACGTTAGATGTCCTATTTAAATGTAGATAGAAAGCTATAGCTAGTATTGTGATTGTACGTGTTGTCGCTTCGCTGTGAGAGACGGCAAAATCATTTTCCGTTATGTGGCAATAAGGCGAGCATATTCTCTACCGTTACATATGGTGGGTTTGAATACACAACGTTAAGGGTTAAACATGGGACGTTAAGCTACAATGGTTATGAATGAGAACGTTATGAATAACGGTCAACCGTTGTGCTCGGGTCGTTAATATGTCACATTTTAACGTCAACCCATAAAACCGACGAGCCGTCGGTGACAGGTGAAACGTTAACGGGTATTTATTATCATCATTTTTGTATTTAAATTTTAGCTTGCTTGATTTTTGGACGTTACCACACAGCAACCGGACCAGTTAGTGAATTTCCCTCCCCTGGACCTGTAAGGTGCTGAGGCGGCCGCCTGCTGCCGGCTTCCGCTTAGCAGTGTGGGTTTATTCATCGTGTCGTGTGGGTGTGGGTCCTAGTGTTTGGTAGTAGAGGGTAAACCCACTTAAACTGTACCCACCTCCTTTCTCATTGGTAGAGACACGTGACGCTATTCCCCTCTGACTCTAGCTAAACATTAACATACTGTGACACAGTGAGGACAGGATGAAAGAAAGGCAAGACAGATCATTTTTAATTAAATGGTTATTAATGCTGAATATCTTGAATGCTGGAGGCGATTTCTATTTTGTCCAACTTGAACATTTGAACTCCTCACAGAAGGGAAAACTGCTGAGTAAGAGGTTAAGAAATAATGCATGCTTTTTAAAAGAAGCAACCTTTTTTCCCAGTGTATTGGTTAGGTTATGAGGCCAAGCAGTGTAATAAAACACTCCTGCAGCCTTGAAATAATTGATGAGGTGAGCCATGCTTTAAGGGTGCACGGTGACATCCTGTGTTTTCTAATGGAACTGATGCTGAAAACATCACTTTATTCTCATTCAGTAGACAACATTACGTTAAATATTCATTTAATCCACATGCAGGAATGCACCCATGTAGCATTTCCTAAAAGTATGCTAAAATGCCAATGGCAAGGACTGCTAAATGTCACTGGTTTATGTGCGCTGAATGGAAATGGCGTGTAGCTGTGCTGTGGGAAGATGCAGTCCTTCAGGCCAGTGTAGGATTTACTGTAATCTGCAAACTGTAATCAGATGCTTCAATGCTGCATTTAGCTTCTTCTCCACTCACAGTGGTACCATTATTTTCCTATCAAGGTTGGGAAGAAAGCTGAGAGGGAGAACAGAGGAGACACAAGAGAGAAGCCCCAGGTGACTTGAAAAAGTGGGCCACCAGAGATACCTGAGGAGGGACTGAGCACTGCACCCCCTCTCTGCACTGAAGGGGCTTTTGTGCTGCTGGAAAGTTGATGCCAGCTTGTTACTTCTGATCTACAGAAGGGTCGATTACAACAATGCATAACTGTGCATGTTTAATGGCGGCACTTTGTAGAGCACATTTAGTGGAAAATGCACCGCTGTGCCCAAGATCATAACCCACACGCCACTGGTTGTGAATATAGGTTGCGAGAGAGCTTTCATAAATAGGAATTAGGTTTATAATCCTAATGCTGGAGGGAAGAGGGGATAGCAATCAGATCTATCTGTGACACCACACATTTCATCCCTTGTTTCTGCAGTGCTGTAGATATCCCAAAAATAGGCTGCATCTCTTAAACCGTTATTTAAAATTTAAAAAAGCACGGTGATGGCACGACAGCAGCTGTCAGGTTTGTTGTGAGGAACAGTAGGCATACAGCTGTCAGTGCTATAACTATATTTAAAACACAATCCTATCTAATAGAAATACTTGATGCAACAAATATACACAAGGACAGTATGAAGCTGGATGTCAGTCATACAATAATAGATATACATATATTTACAGCTTGTGTAAAGCTTGAGTTGCATACTAGATTTACAGATTGGTGCTCTTGCAGCTCAGAGAAATACTCGACATCCGATAGAGTATTGCATGCACACACACGCACGCACACACACATTAATGGAGTCAGTGCATCTGAGACAGATGGACTGGTAACAAGATAATGAGGAAGGATGTGTGATTTTTCTTTCTTTCACCGTCTTCTCGACCAGTCACGTGAGCGACGGTGCTGGCTCGCTTCCTGTCTTTCAACAAGCTGATTGTCCTTTAGTCAGCAAGATCTGTACTCTGTTTTAGAGAGAGAGAGAGAGAGAGAGAGAGAGAGAGAGAGAGAGAGAGAGAGACATAGACATAGACATGTACCTGCAGGGGTAGATAATGATCTTTTTGTAAATGTCATTGTGATTGAGACATGCCTCAGAGCAGCTACAAGCAGCTAGCTGCATGTATGCCTTGCAGCCACCTAATTTCTTATTTATCCTCGCTCTGATCCAGTGATGTCAGCTTTTTAAAGCACTTCAAACACAATGTTTGTATTTTTAGAAAGAAAAGCTTCTTGTCTTGTTTTTATGAACAGAGTAATGCCTACACATCTGTCCTTTCGTTTGTCTAGAATGGTTGAAAATGTAGTAAAAAACATTGAATTAAATCATTAAAAGGAGTGCTAAAAGGTGACATAAAACGTTACCATTACCAGTTACAGGCAACAACAAAATATGTATTTTAAGTAAAAGAAAGAAGCCGTTAGGAATTTAATTTCCTAACTTCTATCAAAAGAAGACTGCTTGCTGCTTTAACGACAAGATTCCACATAACTCTTCACTGTCCTCGTCAGTACAAACGGTTTATTGCCTCATTGTTCGTGTTGAAATGATGAACAAGGGTCAAAAAGTGAACTGTTATCTCAGTCGGTGCCCGAACTCTTTAATCAAGTTGCGCCCAGTGGCTGGCTTGAGTTAAGTTGTTAAGTTCAAGGTTCTGCATGGCGGGTGAGTTGCACAATCACCGTGTTTATCTGTTTCCAGAGGTGAAAACCTAAAAATATGACCTCTGTGGGACTGCGTGTGTTTAAGTGAGAGATGTTTCAACTCACTTGAAGTTTTCAGTCACTTTAAATCATTTTTTTTGTTGAATTTAAAGTAACTCTCCTCTTTACTGGTGCAGTGAATTGAAAAAGAAAATGACCTTGCATCCTTTGCGGCCTTTTAAGTGGTGCATTGAGGTGATTCAGAAACCCCAGTACAGACTGTAACTCTTTCTGCTTTGAGAATAAAAGGAATTCCTTGAGTGATGCCACTGTGCTGTGGACTGTGCACACTGAGGCTACTTGTTTCCACACAGACTCCCAATTGTCATGACAAGACGGTCCAGCCAGGCTACATGACTGTGGGTGAAATAAATGTCCTGCTGCAGACATAGTTGTGTGAAGTGGAGGAAGCGAAGTGGACGAGTCGAGCCTCAAGCATGATGGAGAAGGGAGACGTCGGTTTGATGGGTTACTCATAAAGACGGCAGTGGTCTTCACCATACATCATCTCCTCAGTCCTATCATTAACAGAACACAGTATAGTCTGTAAATCATTGTCTGAAGGGAATCGGTGTGCTGACGAGTTCAGTTCAGGAGTCAGTGGCAGGAAATAGGGAAACAAACATAGCATGCTTTAAGTGAAAAATGTGTCTGTATCACAACTGATTGAGTCCAGGCAGCAGAGACCAGAGATGTGGCTCTCTGACCTGCTCTCCTCCTCCTCCTCCTCCTCCTCCACTGGAGCAGCCAGCGGGGGCCTCAATGTGCCCATCCAAACTAAACATACCAGACCACAGCTGCATTCACACCTGGATACGGTTATCCACGGACATAAACATCCACACATGCTGCGCAACCTCTCTGAAACTGAATCTGAGGAACCAGTCATAGTCGTGTGTTGTGCGAGTGCAGATGCACTTCACAGAGAAACCCACCAGTCAGCAACGATCTGAGACGGAAAAGCTCTGTTTGTGAGTCATGACTCGTGACTGAGGGAAGTGATGGGGGAGGAGTGAGGAGGAGGAGGAGGAGGCGGGTTGCACACGCAGAGGCAGGTTGTGATTGGTGGACGATGGGGGTGGAGAGAATGATGGGGGGAAATGGGAAGCATCTTTTTACACTGAAGGCATTCTGTACCTTTAATATGGAGCATCCTGTCCACATCACATATTTTTCCTCTGTTTGCGCAGAAAGAGCTGTGTTAGCATACAGAGGACAGAGGAGAGTTCAAGGACATGTATGACACACAGATGTTCCAGTGATGATAGTCGTTTTAACATAAAGTTATCAGTCTACAGGGATTGATAAAGCTCTATTTTTAAATTGTCGACTAATTATAAAGATGTATCTTGTACTGTTGTCCCTATTTAGGGATTAATAAGCGACACACAGAGCTTTTGATAATCAACCATAGGGATGATTCAATTAGTCGATCGACAGAAAGTTAATAGCAACTATTCAAGCTTCTCAATTGTGACGATTTGCTGCTTGCTTAGTTGGATTTGATGCTGTTAACCTGCCAACCCACATGTAAGTGAGCGCTGTACTTGGTTTGGTCCTCAGCACACCTGGGAGGAAAGTCAGCTTCTGATCTGGATTCCTGGACTTGATTTTGAGGTTTCTCTTAGCTGTGTGGTTGAGGCTGCTCCTCCGTTCCTTTGTGGTGAATTGGTAGGTTCAAACAAACGTTTTATTGAGGGTGCCTGTTTCCAGCGTTTATTATTCTATTCTGTTTCCCTCCAGCATCTCATTGTCAGAGTCCACACATTCTCCTGGATTCCTAATGTCTTCCAGTTGTGCCCCGTCAGTAGCTGGGTTTTCATCCAGGTCCACATGAGCTCCATGGAGCAAGATGTCCGACACATCGGATGTGCCCTGAGGATAGAATGGTGGTGCTGTGGGATTCAGTGGATGTGGATTTTGCTGTTGGCCCGGCCCTCCTCTCTCTGTCGTATTCCTCACCAGGACTCGGATGCCCACCTGTAACTCTGGACCATAAATTCTTTTGCCATATTGTTTTTTTCTACCTCTATCGGCTGACCTGCCTGCATGTTTAGATGCTATCTCATAGGCTTCTGTCATCCTCTTTCTCCATTTATCCACATAGGCCTGATATGAGCCTGGCTGGTTCTTCCTTTCTACTCCAAAAAGGATGTCCACATAGCAAAATCGTTAAATCGTTAGTCCGCCACAGTTTTTGCTGATTTGTTTGTAGTTGCGTGGGCTTGGGCAAAGCGTGTATAATGGTCTATAACCACCAGAATATATTCATACCCCCCTTTAGACTTGCAGGAAGTGCAGGAAGTCCACTGAGACTAACTCCAATGGGTGAGGGGTTTTCATACTCAATCATCGGAGCTGGTTTCCTGGTTTCCTCTTCTTGAGGCATTCACACACATTTGTCATGAAGTGCTCCACGTCACGCTGCATCTCCTCGTGAAGCTCCCTGAGAACGAGAGGATGGTAGATCTTGGGGAGTACTAGCCGACATCTAGACTGACTCCTCCTATGCAAAATTCCCTCTGCCTTGATCTCCAGTTTACTCCATTCCCTAAAAAGTAGTCCAATACTTTGCCTATTACCGGGTCTTTCTGTGGTGCATCTTGTATTTTGTCTTTGGATATTGGCTGTACTGTGCTGACCAACCTGTCTGTATCTGCCTGTTCTTGAAGTGGTGCTGGCTCCTCCTGCTGCACCGGGATACCCTGCTCACTGTTTCCTTCCCTCTGCTGGTACAACACCGCTCCGAGGCCATCTTGCGATGCATGAGTATGGAGGACAAATGGTTGGTTGAAGTCAGGGTAACTGAGTACCCGTGAGCTGGACAGCTTGTCGACTAGGTGGCTCAATACTTGGTGGTGTACCTCAGTCCATGTCCCATGTGTCCCACTAGGCAACTGTCCCTGGTTCCCTCTTTTCTGTGATGTTTCTGTGCCACTTGGAGGGGCCGCTAACCGCTCATACAGCGGCTTAGCCAGATGTGAAAAGTCCTGTATATAAGATCTGCAGTAGGAGAGAAAGCCTAGCATCTGTCTTACCTCTCCAACGGTAGTAGGGCGTTTCCTCTTTAAGGTTTCCTCATTGTGTATCCCTCCTTGGACACGATCTTCCCCAGAAATCTCACACAGGTACTCCTTCACTTCCTGGTGAACACTGATATTAGTCTTTTAGACAGGAGTCCGATCCTTTAAGGTGATGTGCATTTTGAGTGTTGGAATACAGCCGACGTCCATGTCGTCTTTTGCAAAGGCATCACACTCCTCTCTCGGCATTTCTTTTTGCAACAGCCTGCTGCTCGCTGGTCAGGTGATCCAATACTATAGGTGGGTCCCATGCGTTGCTGTCACTCCGGGTTGGCCATGGTGTGTCCGTGTCAGAAAGTTCTTCTCACTGCCATACAGCCCACATTGACTGTAAAATACCAAGCCAGCATTAATGTGTGGAGTTTTAGCTGAAATAGATAGAGAGCTAGAGAAAAAATATTTCCAAATGCAAACACCCCATGCTAGCACCTCCATCTCACCTTTCACCTCTTAAAACAAACACTTATGATGTCGCTCTCAAAAATGACAAAATAACTTTTGGACGGTATTTTCTGTATGTATTACTTTGCCACTTTTTTGAGAATGCTTAATGTGACCTTTCCTATTTCTTTTACAGATATCCCCCAACTCGAGCTAACAGCAACTGCAAGCGCACGATTAGCCAGCATAACTCCACTTGGACAGCAACACACTGCTGTAATCAGCTGACCACCGAGTGACTAGCTAACAGACAGATTGACACTTTGACCAGCCGGGGCTTCAGATAAATGGCTGACAAGCAGATCAGGTGAGGGGGAATGTGGAGCGACTACAAATACAGCAGCGCTGTGGACTTTCATTTGGTTTTCATTTATTGACCTTTTATATTTCATATTTTTGTCCAGTTTGCCTGCCAAATTGATCAATGGGGGGATCGCTGGCCTGATTGGAGTGACCTGTGTGTTTCCCATTGACCTGGCCAAGACTCGCTTGCAAAACCAGCAAAATGGATCTCGCCTTTACACCAGCATGTAAGAGATGAGTGTATTTGACTTTTTGCATATGAACGTATAAACATGTTGCTGGGCTATAGTCAGGGCTGATCAGCTTGTCATAAGGTTCCCAGATAAATAACATACCACCACTGTTGTGTTTGTGTTTCAGGTCAGACTGCCTTATTAAGACCATCCGGTCGGAGGGGTATTTTGGGATGTACAGAGGTACGTTTTTAAAAAAAATATTTTTAGATTCTTGTGATTAATGTGTGAGCTCACTGAAGTGTAAAAATGAGAGCATGAAAGCAGTTAGGTAGCATAGGTTTCTGAATACTTTCAGCTTCATAATGAGGCTCCAGATATCAAACACATGGATCTGTGTCTGGCTGCTACAGGCAATTATCTCCCATTCTCTCTCGCCCGTCTCTCTGCCTCTCATTTTCTTACTCTCTGTCCTTTTTATTGTCTCAGGAGCGGCGGTGAACTTAACACTAGTCACGCCAGAGAAAGCCATCAAATTGGCTGCTAACGACCTCTTCAGGCACCACCTCTCCAAGGATGGGTGAGGAATGAAAGTGCTAACAGGCTGACTGACACACACCCACTCCCTCATTCATCTTGTGATCGACCGGCGTGTTTACCAACATGTAACCTAACACGTTAGCTGTCAGTGTTTTCACCAGGGCTCTTGTTAATCCTCCACCGTTCAGTCGTTAGCTGTTTGCTTCAAAAAATACAGAATTACTTGTATGTGTGTCAGCAGAAGCCCTGTCTGAAAGTAAAATTAGCACATGATGTCAAACATTAGCGACCATCGTATTGCTCAAATCAATCACCCACCCATTGTCCCCCATGATGAAGGTTTCTGGGACATCCATCTCCATCTCGTTTGTGACAAACATGCAGGCTGATAAATGATTGACTTGTCTTGCCCAGCCTCTCGCCGTGTGAATTATTAATCTGCCCTTGTGCCAGACATGTTGAAATAGAAGACAGAGTTAACTCCTTTTTCAAGGACTGCAGAAATAAAGTTGCCCGGATCCCACTCTGTCAGTCTTGTGCTCGCTTTAATCTGATCCAGTCGTGATCTTCTTTTCTTTCAGAAAACTCACTCTGCTCAAAGAGATGCTGGCTGGCTGCGGGGCCGGTACATGCCAGGTGAGTGAAGTGCTGCTTTAATTGCATCCTCCTGTTCTCATCTGGAACTGCTGCCTTCAACGCCACCCATGTCAGCTCACACACACGCACCACTGGGCCTCAGCCACTCGCCTCATTTATCACCGCCTACAGCTAGAATTAGCCAGCGCCAGGTTGGAATGAGAGGAGGTAGTTGCAGAAACATGCTCACAGTCGGTCTCTGTAGATCGTCCCCGTTATCTATGAACGTGACCTGTAACGTGTCATTTTCATGAATGATTTCTAATCACTGAAACGTTGTCCTGTAAGCAGGCGATACACTGGCAGCTAGATTTGAGTGATCAGATAAGACGTTGTGAGAGTGCTTGGCCATGTGCACCGAGTGAGTGAGTCAGAGGGAAATGCCTCTTCTCAATGAGGACAAAGGCTTCAAGCCCCGAGGGACATGATTAGATTAAGTGTAGCACACCTTGGATTAAGATTGCAGCCCAGAACATGGCCATCTCATCCCTAATCCAGTTAACTAGTTACCACTGCGTGGATTACAGAGGAAAACAAGAGTTGACATATAGCTGATGTTACACTGGACACATGTTTTGCATGACACTTTCTAATACGAATCAATCCTTTGTATCTGACACCTTTATTTTGCTTTGTTGCAGGTTATTGTTACAACTCCTATGGAGATGCTGAAAATCCAGCTCCAAGATGCTGGACGAATTGGTGAGCGGAAATTCAATCCAGATGGCAGTTTAAGCAAAGAATGAAGAGTAGTGGATAAACTGGAGAAACAGTGGCCTCATGTGGTTCATGGCTGAGATTACAAGAGCTTGATGCTGGTCTCTTCTTTCTGTTATGAATTCAAAATGTCTGCCCACATACCTGTTCTTAGTATTGTTTCTGGTGACTTTATACGAAGCCTTTGCTGTTGTTGATGTTGTGTTTCTTATGCTCCGTAGCGGCTCAGAGGAAGCTGATGCCAGAGACGGTAGCAGCAGGTACTGTGGAGACCAAGTCTCCAACAGCCATTCAGCTCACCAGAGAACTATTTAGGGAAAAGGGTATTGCTGGGCTGTATAAGGGCCTGGGTGCCACCGTGCTCAGGTAAAAACACATCTCTCTACTGGTTTCACCAACCGGCTTCAATGAACTTCAACATGACTTACTGTCTTTTTACTTATTTCTCTCTTTTTGCAGGGATGTTCCTTTCTCCATGATCTATTTCCCCCTTTTTGCCAACCTGAACAGCCTGGGCAAAAGAGGCGTAGACGGGCCCGCCCCCTTCTACGTGTCGTTCATATCGGGCTGCCTCGCGGGGAGCACAGCGGCCGTTGCTGTCAACCCTATTGATGGTGAGCAGCGGGACGGTGAACGTCGTTACAACAACGTGTGCCCCGTTAGTTGACGTTATGTATTCACCTGAGCTCCGTGTGTTGCAGTGATAAAGACCAGATTGCAGTCGCTGAACCGAGGAAGCACAGAGGACACGTACAGTGGAGTGAATGACTGTATCAGGTGACCTCATTATGTCTTTTACTGCTGCAGCATGTGTGATGCTGCATGTGTCAGGTCAAGTCAAAATGGATTTAAGTGCATTAACACACAAAACACTATGAAACAGCAAATTCAACAAAACAACACAGCTGATACATTATAAATAAACAAATTAAAAGATAGATAAAGCACAATCAACACCATACCTACTGGCACACAGCTAGAGCTGGCTGTTTGTTTCACTTTTAATACTGAGATTTTATTTGTTCTCTAGGAAAATCCTGCGTAATGAGGGACCATCAGCCTTCCTGAAGGGAGCCTACTGTCGAGCCTTGGTCATTGCGCCTCTGTTCGGCATCGCCCAGGTGGTCTACTTCTTGGGTGTGGCTGAATATATTATCAGCTTCTTGACTAAAAAAGACAACTAAGAAGCACTTCTGCCTTTCCCTCCCACAATGCATCACGCTCACCGCGTTCATCTCATTCTGAAAGAAATTTTCGATGGGTCAAAGCGTGGCCGGTCAGTACATGTTGTTTTGAATTTGTTGTGTTGAATGTTGAAATAGCTGAGGAGGGGGAGCCTTTGTTTGCCAAGCTGCCTACGGTGGCACGCAACAATCCAGTAGGCACGCTGAGCTAGCTCTCTGGAAACGAAGCCACAAATATCAGTTGACGTTTTAAAGGAATATTGCTTTATAATTACAGCATTTTATTGCATTTTGTGAAAATGATTGTCGAATTTCCAAAGTAGATGTACTGCCCTTGGTTGCTGCAGTTCTGCAAGCCCGACACTACCTAATTCACACAGCATTAGTCTCTGAATGACAGAGAAGATCATAGTGATCATACATCGCTAGATTAAATGCATGTACTTTACTTAGAAAGATATTTGAAAACATAAGAATAGAATATTTTCTAAAAAATGCTATTCAAAGAATTCCCCCAGACATTATGTCTTAAAAAATAGTATATTTAGAATGAGAGCAAAACATAGAGTAAGCCTGAGTTTCAGACAAAGACCCCGGGAATGCGTTACCGTGATACCAGCACAGCCCCTCTGATCTCTCCTCAGAAGCCCCATCCCTTCCTGTAAGTGCTTGTAATGAACTCAGAACCATTCAGCTCCATGCAGACTTTGATTGCCTTAGCTTTCCAAGTAGATCAGGTTCCATTTGATATTTAGTGCTACCACAATGGTTTGACTGTTTTGCCTCAGTGAAAAAGATAGCTCCTGTTTCGTAGTCGCACCCTAAACTGAAGGGACCGTGTTCGGAAATTGGGGGCTTTACGCACTTCCAAACTACACGTACGCATAGTTTGAAGCTGCCTCTCTGCTGCTTTCTATGGGTTGAAACTGTCAAGCATGTCATAGTTGTGGCCACACCCCAATCAGAGACGTCACAGCAGGAGTGTTGCCTTCGAGAGATGATGGAAAACACCTGCTGTGACATCACTGATTGGATTGCGGCTAAAAGTGCTGTGTGCGCGTAAAAAGTGTCAGTCCACAGAGAGCAGAGAGGCAGTGGTTTTCAGCCCTGTGCTGAAAATTGTGGTTCAGATGAAAGCGTTAGCCGTGAGCACTAAATGGGTTTTAATAGGATGCAGGTTATTAGCTGATTTTATTTGAATTATGCTGATCAGACATGACATGCTGAGGCCTCATGAGTACAGTCATCCATTGTGGAGCCAGTAAGACCTGAGCTGGAACAGTTCAAACCACTTAGCTCCACAAGTAATTATTATTGTTTACAGATGAGTTCACACTCACTTTAGATTCTTTGTCTGAACTAGAATTCATTGGCAGAACCCGAAGAGCTGATTTTCTTCCTCAGAAAATCAAACCGACGTGTTTTCAGCGTGTTCTATGATTTTACCAAACATCTCGGCTTGTTTGTTTTAGAGGTTTTGTTTGCTTTAAGCTGCGAGGGGGAAAGCAGCTCTGTCGTATCTTGTTTATGCATCAGGACACTGAAGCCCTGCCATTGGTTCATCTCGCCGGAGATCAAGGTGACTTTGATATGTATTATCCAATCACATTCCTTCCTCGCTCCCACTGTCCAAGCAGCTCCTCAATTCTACTGTTGCACTGTCGACACGCGATTGCGACTTTCCGATGTTTTATCATTTGTGGGAGCGAGTGATCTATTTATCAGAAACCCTTTCTATATGTAGTATAGCACTATATATTTGTATGTGTTGTTTTATCTGTGACAAAGTGTCCACCTTAACTATATTGTACAGAAAATATGAAATGTATGTTTTAGGATTTATTGTTCGGTTTGTACATGATGGCTTATTTGCACACCTACCGCCCAATCCATAATGTGGTGATTTTATGTTGTGATGCTGTCGACATATCAAATGAAGGAACATGTTTTATTGCAGCAAACATTTGAACTTAAATGCAGCATGTTGAGTTTTTTTTATACTGTATGCAAAGGGGAACACTAGTATAAATCAAGGAGGGTTTTTGTGGAGGTGCCATTTCTCCTGAGCTATTGGTTAAGCTGGTCAGCCTATTGTCCTGTTTCATCAACTGGGACCAAACGGAACATCATTTAATGATGACAGAAATGTAGGTAGTTTTAAATGAATGACCTCTGGGGCTAATAGGACAGTTCTGGAAGTGAAATGTCATGAAATACAGCCTGAACGAGGCCTCTAGGGAGCTGCTGACATCAGACTGTAAGTCTTAACATCTGTGAACGGTGCTTCTTTCATGAGGTAGCTGCGACATGACATTGATGGCACTAAGGGCCAAGTCTGCAACGACTGAATCACAAGCGAGGAAATCTCGGCGTTATCGATGTCTTAACGGAGAGCCATAGGTCAGGGAGGGACATTAGAACTGCTAGACATGGACTGGCACCTCCGGCCTTGCTGACAGATGACAGCTGGGCCACAGGAAGACGGTGAAAAGAGCTGTCTAGCTGCGTAAGCTCGTCGTTAGAAATTACTGTTTTTCAACATTCCTATTGCCAGTTCATCTCGTATATGCTGTTTTATTGTGTTAATGCCTATTTTTGTGTTGTTGAGATTATTGTTATGGTATTTTTTAACTGCCCATCCCCCACCCACTCCCTTGTTGTTTTCAGATTTTCTTTTCTGTATCTTTGGTTGAATCTTGAAAATGTTGTGCAAGTAATTTTGTTTCACTCAGCTGTGAACTTTCACTGACCGTGTGCATTTGGTTATATATATATGTGCGTGCGTGCGTGTCTGACTGTGTAGTGCTGTAGTTGATGTGTAGTTGTTAGTGCGACACTGCGGTATTTTTCTCTTTGATTGTCAGACCCGTGTTCTCTCCCCTCTTTCCTTCTACCTTTCACACTCCTCTGCCATCGACTCTCCCCAGCATCCACAGCCGGGGCTGCAGGTCGATGCAGAGGAGCTCTGAAACACCAAATGTATGACTTAGAGTGTATACAATCAAAGAAAGCACAAAGGATTTTTAGGCACAAGAGACCACATGGCCCACTTTGAATATACTCGGACTACGTTCTTGGAAAACAATGTGCTGCTTTCCCTGACATGGTTTAAAGTCAGAGTTATTCAAGTGGAGAAGTCGATTGCGATTAACTTTTTAGTCTTGTAAGAAAGTTTATCTATGTCTGTAAAACTTGATCCATAGGGCTGAGACGACAGGTCGTTATAAGAGACCCATGTGATGGTGTCCACAATGTCACCCATCAGCAGTTATCCACAAAATGTATATCGCCTACATATTCTAAATGAATCAGATATAAGAATGTATCTTAGATATTATGAGATGTATTATTATTATCATAGTGAAGAGTTTATTACATTTTAATCTAAAGATTTGTGCTTTACACATTCACTGAAAATGTTCATGAACCAGCTCACTGATATGCAATAAGTAGAAGCTGCAAACACACACTAGAAAAAACAAACAATGGACACAGACAAAAATAACTTCACAATGTATGATGCAAGCGGGGAATTTGGAGGCCTTCTGGGGTCTCTTCAGGGCCTCTGTTGTCTTCCTCCAAGAGGAATCGTGCATTCTAGCACTTTAAAATATAGGGACCCTCACCCCACTGTCCATCGACAAAGTCTCTCTCTGTGGCAAAGAGGGTGTTTATGAATACGTGTGGTGAATGGCACAGTTGTTCTAGACATTGTTGACAATGCAATTGGAAAAAAAAAAAATATATATATATTGTGTTCCCTGTCACAATTTTGTGTTCAATAAACTGACTGTCCTGAAATCGCCTGGTGCAGTCTGTGCTGTGGGTTACACTGTGTTTCTCTCTTTCCTATTTTACACTTATCGCTGTATCTGCTTTCAAGGTCCAGTAGTTGTCTGACAGAAAACAAAAGAGCAGACAGTGCTGTTTTTCGTCTGAAATAGTGCCGTGAAAACGAAACAGCAGGGCAAAGTTTTTTTTTGAAGAGTGCGAGCATGACATCGTGGCCCCTCGGGGGCACAAGAGCCATGTTGTGGTGATTTGCTGCTACGCGGAGCCACCAGGTGTCAGTGTGGGGTCGTGGGAGCGCTGTTAGTCCTGCTCTGGTGGGAGTGGGGTGGAGTGTGAGCAGTGCTATTATGTACTACAGGTGTATGCTCAGCTTGGGTGATGTGGCAGTAAATCACAGGCACCGATCACTCTCCGTCCATCTTATTTTCAGTCATGCTAGTCTCCATCTCTGTGCAGCTGTGGTGCTGCTTGTACACAGATGGGCCTCTGTGATCTGTGTGGCTTCACTTGACAAATTTAAGGTGTTTCTGTGTGCTTACAAGTTGCATGATAGGAATATGGAAATGTGTTTTCTCGCGGATTTCACCAGATGCTTGAGGTCCATAAATCCCACATTATTCCTGAATACGTTTCAACAGAACGGATGTTTTGACAGGAGGGCTATTCATCGTTAATCCCGTGCTGTTTGTTATGTATTCAACATTACTGTGCATAGCATTATATTCCAGAATTCTATTTTGCAATAATTAAATCTTAGAGCCTTCATTTAACCCTAAACACACACACACACACACACTTGCTAAGTGTGCGTCTTTGCATCCATATCTTATTTCAACCAGAGTCAGATTTCATACTGAATGTTGTGCCTCTTTGAGAGACTCCTTTCAGCATCTACTCCAGTGTTTACACACACTGGAGATGAGGCTCAGTTTACCACAATGACAAGACTTTGAAATATAGAAATGATGCACCAGCCACTGTTCTTATGCTCATTCGAATCCCCTTTGTGTGTCATGACTTGAGCTTCCGCCATGAACAGGTCTTTCATGCTTTCTAGCAAGAGGAGAGAAGGTGGACTGAGAAGGCAGTCTGAGATGAGGTTAAAGCGACAGAATGATGGAGGGAAGGGGTGAATCAAGATTGGAGACAGTAAAGGGTCGTCGATAGAAGGAGCAGAGACCCAGAGGAAAGGAGGGGAAGGTGTTGATGTATATATAGGTCACTAAATCAATGGGAATCAGGTTTTTGAAGGGGAGAGACGGGGGTATTTATAGATACCAGTGGAGACAGATGCATCAGTGACAGGCACAATGATGCTGGGAGCACAGGAGGGGGAAATCTGGGTAACAGCCTGTGGTCAAATTAGTCTGCAGAGAATTCTCCCTAACAAAAGGCAAAAGACTCAATAGTGATCAAATAACACGGAGCGCAGCGCAAAACAAAATATAATCAAATGGAAATCACTGCAGAATGCTTTGAGCAAATGACCTTCCCAGCTCTGTTGACAAAACGCAGGCACACTGTTATTTGCAGTGTTGCTCACAGCATTTGCATCTATAGTACAGCTCAACTCATATCCTTTTGAATTGTAATCTGTGATATCAGAGAGACGCATGATTGAATTGAATATTAGCCTTCTATTTTGCAGGCATGTAAAGAGAACCTGCATATTTATCACTCAAGCGCACTGAGAGCGACTGAATGGCTGGGAAGTGCAATAAAAACATTACAGACCGCATTGTATAGATTCCAGGTCAGAGGTTATTGGTTGATGAGCATGCACTGTCATGATTTCCATATTAATAGCATACATTAATTACACAACTACTGTTCAAACCATTTCTACCAAATGGCTAAGTGGTGATGCTGGCCTTGTGTGGTAGTTTTAATAACTGTAATGGCTTATCCCATTTTATTTTATAATGTCCCGCATGTCTCCGTCTGCCAGCTTCATGTAAGAAAGTAACACGGAGTTCCATCACGAATTAGAAATTTGCTCTGAGAACAAGAAGGAAAAGTAATTGAAGAAATTGTTTTAAATTGCCTCCAGACTCGATTTTTCTAGGACTAAGTCAAGGTCATGGACAAATTGTTCCTTCACCACTTACAGGGCTGTGTGTGTGTGTGTGTGTGTGTGAGAGATGAAAGACAGCCTGAGTACCGAGTGTTAAAATCATCTCATTTCTTCATCGTATTTGCGTAGAGCAGCCACATCACCTTGCATCAAAAAAACTGGCAGATGACACACACACACAACAGCACTTAATCTCTGGCTTGTGTCTAATAATGTGGTCAATAAACTCACAGGACAGTGTTGTGAATACAGGACCATCTGACGATCATTTATATAAGGGGTAAGGATATGGATATGCCGCATGGTTGAAGTGACGGGGGCCAGATGGTCGTTATGTCGTTTCCTCTCCTCAGATCAGTGTTTAATGTAACAGGATGATGTTGCTTTAATGACTCATTTGTCATTGTGGTTTAAGAGGTATAGAAGTGGAAAGTATCTCAATACATTTACTCAGGTATACTGCACATAAGTACAGGTTTGAGGTACTTGCACTAACATGAGTATTTCCATGTTTTTCCGCTTTATAATATTGCATGTCTTACTCCGCAACATTCATTTGACAGCTATACTTTTATGGCTGCAACAAACCATTATTACGATTACGAAACAAAGCAAAGTGACATCTTCAAATGTATTGTTTTATCTAACAAACAGGTTCATTTTCAATTACAGTATGCAGTATATGAATCAGGGGTAATAAACCAGTAAGCTACGATATTGCAGTTTAGTTTTGTGATCGTTTTTAAGATTCTGTTTTTTAATTTTATGTGAATATAGGTTTTGTGTATTTTAATACATTGGGACCAAAAAAAATATAGCATATAAAATGATACAACATTCTGCATGATGAGTACTTTTACTCTTAATATGTTAATGTTTTACGTAAGTACAATTTTGGATACTTCTTCCACCACTAATGAGATTACCAATTAAGCCATGCAACTTGGGTGCAAGCCTTGTCTAAAATCCCACGAGTGAGCTAACTGCACTCCTCACTACACAGCAGGGGGATATTTTTATCTTTGAATGACAGGTAGATACACAAAAATAATCAAGGATCTCACGTTGCAGCAGAGCAAACAGACTTCTTAAAGACAGCTGCAAAAAAAAAGTCACTTATGTATTGTCCTCTGAGCCACAGTGAACCGGTGGTTATTAAAGGGAGAGAGAGAGAAAATGGAGAGAGAGGGAGGGAGGGAGGGAGAAGGGAGAGAGGAGGGAGATAGTGAGAGTCTCAAACTGGCTAGCCCACCTATCCACTAGGAGGAGAGGAGAGTCTGTTGAGGAGCAACAAAACAATAAACAGCTACTACTACAAACACATCATCGGAGTTCACGAGACACGCCAGAGGAGTACCAACAGATAATTGAGACAACGCCATCGTATTTGCCTCGGAGTGAATTAACAGCCATGTATCTGAACAGGGAAGAGGACAACAGCAAAGGTAAGATCCTTGCCACTCTTTGCGAAGAGCACGCTGACAGGTTCAAGGTGTTTCATTTCTGACCCGCTGTTTCTCTTTGACAAGAAAAGGTGCGGATGTACTGTCTGTCACTCCCCGTGTGTCTTTTCTTTCGCTCCTTCTTCTTAAACAGCCTTCTCCGTTTGACATGCCGGAGGACCGGTGATGTTAGTCTAAAGTGTGGGCAGTCATTATGTAATATCAGTGCAGTTAATTGCCTCCTGGGAGGATGCCTATCAATAGCCCAAATCCTGCATTTATTCCAATGCACCGTGGACGATTAATTGTGAACCTGTTGTGGACACAGCCACTTTATCATATGCATCATTTTACCGGTGTGCGTTGTCTTTCGTTGTCAATGTTTTGGACATTGACAATACTTAAGGGCAACAAAACACAAGGTCAAAGCCTCTAGCCACAATGAAAACCAAGTGTATATTGGTTATTCCTAATGCTCCACGGCTTCCGACATTCCGCCAAAAAAATAAAAATAGCTTACTAACGGAATGCAGCTTATTGCTTAACGGGGAGCGATAACCGTGCAGCTGCGAGAGGGGTAACGAGGGTACAAAGGAGGCATATTTGAGTAATTTCTCCCACGTGTTTTTGAGGCGTGATTTCTTCGCTCAGAAACACACTCGACCCGTGTCTCCTCCCGTTGCCATGAAGCATAAATAACTCTCTGGGGCTAAGAGGTAATGCTAATTACCAACTAAATCTTCAGGTTATAGGAGGATAACACCTGCTGCTACCGAGGACCGGGGGGTGTGAAAGAGCAAAAGGCAAAGTGGGAGGGGCTCATTGTGTTCATTTCCCTTTGACGTGAGATAATGTGATCTCGCCACACACGGACGACACATGATACTGTACAGCAGCATCATCCTCATCCGTGGATGAGAGCAGCCTCTGCATGTGTCCACAGGAATACAGCAGAGGTAAGAAAAATAAGTTGCAATCATTATTCCATGTAAAGGATACCGTGTAGCTACTTAAGCCCAGAAAAAGTTCTTTGGAACAAAATTAATTTTGTTCCAAAGAACAGAAGTACGACTACAGATTATTAGCTAACCAAGGAATCCTTGCGAAGCCGGTTGGGTTGCACAGCAGTATCCGTTGGTCATCCCTCCACCTTGGTCCAGACAAATTAACGGGGCAATATTCAATATTCAGAGCTTTAATATAGCAGAAAATAACTATATGCTATGTAAAGATATACAGGACTCATGTACCTGAGCAGAGAATGAAGTCCCTCTTCCTCTGTGTGTGTTGTAATCCCAGTTTATCCTTGCTTTGTTTACATAGTTGGGCCGTTGTGTCACTGTTTGTGCTGTTAGCACCGTTAGCTGCGAGCCCACAGCTTAGAAGTGCCTGTTTCTCAGACAATGAATCATGATATCTGTTGATATCCTGATATGGTTAAAACATGTTCACATTTTTTGTGCCTCATCATTTTATGAACCTCAGACTTAGCTGCCCTTTATGTTAAATGCAAATGCTAGCA